CGAAATCATTCAATTTCGGACAAGTCTCATAGGAGTTACACTCTCCGGAAATGCGAAAGTGGTCTAAGCTGCTCTGGATGCTGCGAGTTGGAGAGGAAGGAGATCAAGCCGCAGCAACACTCGCAAATCACTCCGACTTGAGCCTGCGACCTAGGTGCAATAGAGACCAACCCGCACAGTTTGTACATTCCCCAGAAACCGCCTTAGCCCTGCGAGTTGGAGAGGAAGGAGACCAAGCCGCAGCAACACTCGCAAAACACTCCTACTTAGGCGTGCGGCTAAGACAAGGCGATTCAGGCTTCACAAGACAAGTCTTCATCTACTGCGACTTAGGTGTGCGACCGAGGACATACTGGACTGACCCGCAGGATTTCCACTTGACCCAACTGAGACGGGTCAGTACCCAGTTTGTCCTGGGCTGACCCGGGGGGGGGAACTAGTGGCAACCATAAGAGTGTGAGTGTACATAGCTCAACGAAGGAGCAAATGATCTTGTGAAGCAAATAAGTGGAGCAAAGCAAACAAAAAAAAATTGTTCATGGTTCTTGTCCATCTATATTTGATTTTGTTTGTCAATATTAGTTTTGTTTAATTACGTTGATCGGAGACCATTAACGATTTCTTTTATTAGTTTTTTTTTTCCTTCTCATTTCCGTTTATTTGGTTGCGCTTGAATTAATTCTGATCTTCGACCGTAGTATATGGATCCAATTACCTATCAATCCAATTTTTTTTTTACTAAAATTTTTTTATATTATATAATACAAAAGTTAAAATACAAAGTTAGAATACGATTTTGAAACACAAAACCAGCAAAAAACAAGAAATGCCTGGAAACTAAGTCTGATACATAGGAAACACAAAAATGAGATACTAAATTTCGAAAACACCAAAAAAGTCGGAAGAGCACAACAGTCATAAAACTACAAATCTCATATGTCGCTGCCGAGAAGACCTACAACTGTAAACAGAAGAGAAACCGAGGATAGAAAAAAACACGAAGCCAAATGGATAGATAAGAGGTTAGTCTTATAAGAACAAATCACGGAAAAGACAACAAGAGAAAACCAATTATTCTTCTAAACCCATCAGTCCAATTATTATTTTGTATCTTTCTATGATAATAGTGTATTACTTAGCTTACATCCTATTTAAAATTCGTTATATTTATTAATTCATTCTCGTGATGTGTTGATTCCCCAATTAAAAAACAAAATAAAATAAACCAAGAAAACACAATTGTAATTTGTACTGCAAAGTTTTGACTAACGAATCAGTTATTGGTGTCATAGCCAGATAATTAAAAAAAGATTTAGTACTTGGAGTTGACATTTAAGATGAAAAAAAAAAAAAAAACTCATATCATAATTTCTTATTTTGTGAATAGAAAAGTAGAACAAGACCTCAAGAAAAGAGGCAAGAATGAGTAGAAAGAATAAAAAATGGTCAGAAAAAACAAAGAAAATGTTTGTTAAAAAAATTTCCTAAATAAAATAGGCAATGAAAAGTATAACTTTTTCAAACAGCTTTTTTTGGCCGAAATTCTTATGTGACATTTGTTCACTATAAGAGTTTTTTTTTGTATTTTTGCTTGTTAAATAAGAAATAAAGACGCTTTTTAAAAAAAAAATTGTTAAAGTAGTAAAAAAGACTTCGAAGTATAGTTAAAAACACAAACGTTTAAAATGTACATGTTAATCCATCAGATATAAAGGAAATGATGATAGTTGTGTAATCATTATCATCATGTAACAGAAATTAACGGATCGTTATAGAATTGGACTGTTTTGTGTGCATATCTTCTGCGCATGAAAGCTAAGCTGAGATCATGTACGTATGTGTTTAATTCTTTCTTCTTCTTTTGTCGCCTTGTTTAGATATTAAATTGCCTGTGTTCAGATATACTTTTTGAGAATTTTATTTTGTTTTTTGCTCTGTTTTAGTTAAAGAGAGTGACGCACTACCGAAGGTCTGAAGCCAAACATGTGCGCAGTGGTTGCATCGACCTTACGTCAATTCCCCGAACGGCTAAATATTACGTCGCTTTATCAAATAATTTCTGTTTGAGAGGCCGATTAAAATCAGTTACGTTACTTTTTTTTTTTTTTGACAGAGTTACGTTACTAAATTAAAGGACAACAATTACGCATGCTATTATTTGTACTCAATGTCGAAACCACTTTGTGGGCGTCATCTAAGAAGCTTTGCGAAAGCAGTCCGTAACAACCTTGAAAAGTAGAATTCAACAAAGTGTTCAAAAACTGGTTCTAGTCATTTCCATCGTGCCAAGTTTGATTATTGGCTTGAGGGGCCTGTCAAAAGCAGGTTTAAAGTATATATGTAGTTTATTTAAAGTAAGTTCGGACGGTGGGTTTTATTTAGTGTAAATTGGACTCTCGATTCTTGAAAACTGCAAGATGACATGACAAAACCATTGGGATCGGGATAAACCGTTGTTATAAGACTGAACTATTTGGATTGCGATAGAGGTTTGTTATCTTATCTTTATTGTGTTAGCATGTCGGCACAAGACTGACCGTTTTTCACTAGGTAATTCGTTATTCTTACCTCTATTTAATTTTTATGTATTTGATGAGTCAACTGTCAAAACCATTGTTTTTTTCTTCAACGCTCCGAGTTAACATAGTACCCATTGAATTTGCTTTTATGTTATTTTCTTACTTTTTGTGATGAGGCTAATCTTTTAGATCGAACATTTTGTTAACACAATTTATAACACATAAACTTTTTATTTTTAATGGATATTTACCATTTAGCAAGAAAAACTGTACAAACCATTGATATATGTTGGGTGTAAGGATATTTCTGATTTGATATGTTCATACTAAGAAATTTAAATAGTATTGTAGATTTGGGAAAATATTGAACTATTCGTTGATCATATTTTTTTATAAAGTCTCAGATTTTCATTTTTTGTTGCTTTTAATTTTTTTTTTAATTATCCTAATAATTTGAAGCTAAAAATTAATTTATTTGGGTTGGAGACTTTTGAATGATCTACACCTTCGAGCTCTCGATTATTCCTTCCAACATTTCGGTTGGTCAAGCTGTCTAGCTAGGAGATCCTAAACTGCACTATAAACCTTGTTTGTCCTCGCTCAAGCAGCTCGCAACTCCACCCGCAGTCTCCTTTCTTAGTGACTTCAACCCTGAAATAATCCTCAAAGGATGATAGCTCATGGCTCAGATGACCTACCTAACCCTGAGTCCCTGATCAGTTGCACCTGGATAGAAGGAATTTTTGCTTTCAACATTAAAGAGTATTTTCTCCCCTTGACTAGAACCTTAGGCACTTCAAGGCAGTTCTTGGCCTTCCAAAGGTTAAGCACCATAAGTCTTTATGAAAAGCCTCAAAACTAGCAAGCCATAAGAAGAAACTGTGCATCACATTACCTAACTAAAATCGGATGGGTTATGGGACGCATCACACACATCTCGAGATGGCATGGAAACCATTATTACTGCAACTAGATGAACACGTTTGTTGTGTTGGTTAGGTATACTTCTGCGAAATGTCAAAAAATACAGATAATTTATTGTATTTACCTATCACTTAAATTGGTGACCAAAGTGAAAACACTATGAATATAGATCGTTCTACACGTCATAAAAGAGAGACTAATCGAACCTAATTACATCTAGAGGATAATATTAGTCGTACGACACATGTTTGTGTGTAGTTTATATAAGTTTATCCTTTTCTGATAGTTGTACAACAAGTTATCATATTTTTTTATTAAAACATTTTTGAACTAAGTTTTCTTATCAATATACTTAAAGTTTACTTTCTTCTTACGTATTTCAAATGATCTTATATTTAAATAATTATTTATACTAACTGTAATATTTCGTGATCACATGTTCATTAATTTTTGTTATCAACATTGAGGTGACTATATTAAAAATGGTAAAGATGACTATAACTAATATATAATAAAAAAATATACAGTGTCATATAGTATATAATAAAAGTGTGTAATTTATATATATATATATATATAATGTGGATCAGTACTAGAGAAAACAAAAATTCTATTATCTTATATACGCCTTCACAATCTAAATATAGCAATCACGATGGTTTTGTAACAACAAGATGATATTGTAGTCTTCATATATTACTTAAAAATCAAAATAATTTCTAATACAAAATTGGTTATTTATTTGACAATTTTTGCAGTTATATTTTCTATTCGCTATAGTATTTATTTTGTCAACAATCACTCTTTTCTTATCCAACTAATCGCTCTTAATTTAAATTTAAAAAATAGCTAAAATATATATACAAAAAGTAATATAAATTGTTATCTTATATATCTAAGAGAATATTACCTTTTTGTTAGGAAATGATTTTAAAGTGAAAATTTGGCCAACTTTCTAGATTTACTATATTGTTTTCATATATGTATATATACCATATAAGGTGAACCAATAGCATTGACTTAGTGGCTTGACATTCTGAAATATATTGCTTCCTAGTGTCTTTATATCTCTCTCTCTCTCTCTCTTGTTTTTTTCCTCTCTCTTCTCTACAATCAAGATAGAAAGTCGTCTAAATGAAGAGATCAGTAGCACAACTGGTGATTCTGTGTCTCATTGTGTCATGCATCAATGGAGAAACTAAAACTCTTAGAAGGAACTCCGATGGATCGGAAGCTTGGGGATACGCCGAAGTTAGACCAAGTACGTATCCTTTATCTCTCATTACAGTTTCAAGAAATTAAGAATATATATATGAATGGTTGATTAGGTGTAACTAATGGGTTTCCTTTTGACTTCTTTTCTAAATCAAAATCGAAAACAAAAATTATATAGAAGCACATATGTTTTGGTGGCATTATAAAAGTCCGTATAGAGTTGAAGATCCTTCCAAGCCATGGCCTATTATCCTCTGGCTCCAAGGTGGACCTGTAAGTTCATATATTTGTGGATGTATCTACTTTTTATTTAACGTGTTGTTCTTATCTCATTCGTCGTTTATACATTTGTTTTTTTGTCTTTGGAATATTTTTGTTTATCGATCATTGTTTCAGTGATTTGATTTGATGAAACAGGGAGCTTCAGGGGTTGGAATAGGGAATTTTCAGGAGGTTGGTCCATTAGACACATTTCTCAAGCCTAGAAATTCAACTTGGTTGAAAAAAGCCGATCTCTTGTTTGTGGTATGTATTTTTTTTTCTCATTTACCAACGTTACTAGTATATATTTATATATAAAAATAAAATCTTCATTTTAAAACTATATAAAATCAAGGTTGCGTAGTATCTAATTTGATGAGTCTTTAAGACTTTGCATATGTTGAGTTTGATGACTCTTTAAGACTTCGCATTTGTTGAATTAGTGATTTTTGTTTTTTGTTTTATAAAAAAAAATGGGGAAAAATAGGATAGTCCAGTTGGTGCAGGATACAGTTTCGTGGAGGAGAAGGGTTTGTATGTGAAAAGTGATGAAGAAGCAGCAAAGGACTTGACCACACTATTGCAAAAACTCTTCAACAAAGACCAAATTTTAAACAAAAGCCCTCTCTTCATTGTTGCTGAATCTTATGGTGGTAAAATTGCGGTTAAGCTCGGTTTATCGGTTATTGACTCGGTTCAATCTGGCAAATTGAAACTTCATCTTGGAGGTAAGAGATATCTTTTCTTTGAATAAAAATGAAACCAATAATGTAGACACATAATTTTTTTTTTGTGTGAATAGGAGTGGTTTTGGGAGATAGTTGGATATCCCCTGAAGATTTTGTGGTGAGTTTCATGCTTTTTGGCTTGTCACTTGACACTTTTAAGATTTTTTCATTCGTATATTAAAAATATTGCTTAAGTGTAAACTTAGGTTTTCAAATTTGAAGTAGTTGAAAAAAAAAACACATTTTGTTTATAAATCTACGTACGCAGAAAATACCAAACGATACTTTTTATGAAATGAAGGTAGTAATATACTCTCAATCGGCCTAATTTATTTATGATTAAAATGAAATGAATGGTTACAGTTTTCGTGGGGGCCTCTTCTCACCACTGTCTCGAGGCTTGACTACAAGGGCATGGATCTCTCTAATAGGTTTTTCTTTTCGTTTAATCTTTAATCAAACTACAATTTTCTCTAATTAATTATCTCTCTAATCCATATATTTATTATTGTTGAAGCAGCTTAGCTGAGAAAATTAGAAAGCAACTTAAGAATGGTGAATACGTCGAAGCCACGGAAACGTGGATGGAACTCGAATCCCTAATTACCGTCAACTCCAATTCCGTCGTAATTCCTTCTACATTTTATTTTTCTTCGATTATTATTACATTATTCACGTATATTATATATAGTTACATATATCATATATGTATATGAGGGTTTTAATTATGAAATGGTTCTAATGTAGGATTTTTACAATTTTCTATTGGATTCTGATAATGACCCTCTCTCGCTTACAACGAGCGAAGAAACTAGAAAAGAAAATAGAATATTAAAAAAGTATTCGAGATATTTAAATGATTTGAGAAGTTCGGGTGATGTGGATAAAGGAGACCTTAATAAATTAATGAATGGTGTTATCAAAAAGAAGCTCAAGATTATTCCTAAAGACCTCACGTAAGCAACGTCTTAATCGTGTTTATACTATCAAACTTAGTTAATTTTAGTTGTTAAAATTGTGAGTGGTTATATTTGTTTTTATCTGTAAAATTAACAGATGGGGGAACAATTCGGGTGATGTGTTTACAGCGATGCAAGCTGATTTTATGAGACCCACAATCGAAGGCGTAATAACAATTCTTTCCTCAATCTATAGCGATTTTTAATTATTATTTTAAGTGATTGAACGTTAGATATGATATTTTGATGATAGATAAAATATATATATATATATATGTATATATTGGCAGGTCGATGAGCTTCTTGCCAAAGGGATAGATGTGACCATCTATAATGGACAAGTAAGTAAAGACCATCATCGTCGTATTTAATTATTTATATCGCCTTTAATTATATTGAAGATGAAAAAAAATATCATTTTCATTGCAAAAGATTGTTTAGTGAAATATAATATTACTAGAGAGAATAGTATAAATTACTACTAAAGAGGTGGTAGTTTCCTGCTAACACAAGTTCTTTTGTACATGTCTCGGTTTCAGTTTTTTTTTGAATGAAAAAAAATTAATTGTAAACTGAAATATTTTATTTTAATTTCAAGTATTGGAAAATTTATGAACTGAGAGTTTGGAATTCTCGCGATTTTTAAACAATAAAACATCACATAAATTGACATGTGGTTATGCACAGCTTGATGTTATCTGCTCAACAAGTGGAACTGAAGCATGGGTTCACAAGCTGAAGTAAGACCTATCTACTATTCTATTTTCTAATTTTTAATTATATTACAACATCATTCTATAATCAATAATGTACGAAAAATGGATAATCTTATACATTAATGATTCATCGAGGTTTCCCATTTACACACAATTTGGTTATTATTTTCCCCAAACCATAATAGTAATAGTAACAGAAAAATGATGATACAGAGGGAATAATATTAAATAAGTCAGCTAAGGTTGTTGGTAGTTATTATTTTTTTGGGTTAAAGTGGTATTTATTATTACATGATCATGATGATGATGTGTAAGGTGGGAGGGGCTACAAGAGTTTAAGAAGATGGAAAGGGAGCCATTATTCTGTGAAAATGATAGGTCAAAAACAAGAGGTTTCACAAAATCATTCAAAAATCTCCATTTCTATTGGATTCTTGGAGCTGGTCATTTTGTAAGTACTCTTCTCTATTTTTTTTTTTCATAAATAGGTAACACATCTATATTCTTTCCCTCGAATTTGTATAGTATTTATAACTTATATGACACAAATATTTCTTGCAAAAAAATAAGCTGGTCAGGTTGTCAGGTACATATACGTTTGCATTTGGTATTTAGAAATATTGTAGGCAGTTAATTATTTATTTCATCCATATTTATTGACTATTGTTAAATAACGTGAGAGATACGTGATGCATCTATTAAACGAAAGCACAAGTCTCTTGAATTTATTTCTCTGTTTTTTAATTCTATTTTGTACGTCAACAGTTTCATATAGAAGTCTTTTTGACATTGACACGCAACATATTAAATTGAAAGTTTATGGTAATGAATTTGAGAAGGTAAATATTAGTAGTAAATATATATATATATATATAAGAAAATGTTTAAATGTGAAAATGGTAAAATGATTTTTCATTGACACGCAACATATATAATTTGGAAAATTAATATGTTTTTATTTTTGTAACAAAAAAATCTAATATGTTGAATGTTTAAATTTCCAACAGGTACCAGTAGATGAGCCATGTGTTGCATTAAAAATGGTTGGAGAGATAACGAAGTCACCACAACTTTGATTCTTTGTTCCAAACTTTCACATCACAAATATGACGCAACGCAAGAGATAAAGAGACCATTCAGTCTGATTGGTTTTATAACTCAAAAACTTTTTTAATATAAAAAACAAAAGTTATTTCATCTGTCCCCTGTAGTTAATAGTGAAACTAGAAATGTTTTTTTTCTCTCAAATATAATAATAAGGCAGAAAAGTTGGAAAATATTTGATATATTATTTATCAGCATTGCTGTTTTGTTATTTATGGTCAACAGGATAACAATTAAAAATCTTCATCTCCATATCATAATAAGGAAAGCAAAAAAAAAAAAAAAAAAAAAAAAAAAAAAAAAAAAAAAAACCTGAAACTGAAGGGGGTTTGTATCCAAAATGCCAAAATGGTATAACTTCTTGATACTTCTTTACTTAGATGGATATGTTTTTACGCAAATACTAATAATACCATCAACCAAAATTAAAACCGAACTAGTTCAATTAGGGGGGTAAGTAGAAGCTTTTGCACTAAGACGTGAAGCGTAGGGAGAATTCTCCAACTGATTTATTACCACATTGCGGGATATCGGCCTTTCTGTTTGTTTTCTGATTGTTTAGCCAAAAGAAAATGAAAAGAAAAAGCTTTTGCACTATAGAATCGGGTTAAGGATCTGATAATAAAAATGCTTTGATATTAATTAGGCATTTAAATGGAGGAAAAAATGTGTTACATCTTCAAGACTGTACAACTTCAAGAGGATCGATCTTTTACACACAACCCATAAGCAACGACAGTAAACTAAGAAGGGCCTACCCTCAAATTTACACCACTCGATACAAAATGCAAAAGAAAAGAACCAAAAGCGAGACAGAACAATACCAGAAAGAAAGAAAAAAAAAAGAAAAGTAAGCATTCCTTACTTTAGCTGAAACTTCTAAGGATTGATCTAAGCAGCAGCTGATTCAATCTTATCCACGACTTCTAGCCGCGTTTTCCTCTTCCAACCTTTCATGGTGGCTACTAAATTCACAAGTCCTATGACCTGTCCTTTTGTATATTCCTGTATATATACAATCCATGTTTACACATTTTCATCAAAGTCTTTTACTAAAAGCAAATTCCGATTGGTTTGGTTTACGCAAGACAAACAACAAAAAAGAAGAAGAAGGTTTGTTTGTTTGTTTACCGGATGAGCTCTAGCCCAGTGTACATATTCCGTCTCCGGCAGATAGTATGCCTGCAAAAAACAAGTGATGGTTTTGATCTTAGTGTGTATCACCAGGTACATTATGATCTTGGGTCTGCACTTTCATATGAGTTTCTGTTTTGCATACCTTGATAAATGTTTCCACTATTTGTAACTTCGGCTTCACATTTGTTGGCACAAAGTGCTGTAGCCCGTTTATTAGAACCTACAAGACGATATATAATGACGGCTAAAGTCATTCCCATACATATTAATTATAACGCAGACGCATGTTTAAGTAACACATGTGATTCAAAATATCAATTGCTTATGTTTTATCTCAAGAATACAGAGCAAAGATTTGTTTTATCCTGACCATCTTTGCAGCTGCGCTGTTTATATGACATTTTTATATCACTACTGATATGTCTCTCGGTGTTAGTTTAAGTTTTTCTTTATTCATGTACACAATTCTTGATCTAGTGTAGAAGAAGACAACACTGGACAAAAGAGAGGAAAATTACCTGAATATCTAATGACATGAGAGCACGTCCTTCATCAGTACATCTTTTTATTCGAGATAAACCTTCGACCAGCATCTCCGCAAATATTTCAACTCCATATTCCAGTAGGAGGTTTTGGACCTATATATGAAACAAAAAATTCCAAAGTGACTATAAAATACAGATTTCCCAATAGTTTGAGGAAAATACAAGCTCAATCTGATATATTAATCAAATTGAATTGCATGCTGCCAGTTGATTGTTTATGAAGCAGAATGGTGTTCGGTTTGATTGTAACACACACAAAACCAGAAGGAAACTTAAACAGGTGCCAACTACTAATCGAGGGATCAGGAAATCCGTCACCACTGATGTCCCAATCCAAAAATGCAAGCATCGATAAGTAATGAAAATATGATCAACTCGAATTGATGAGGTCAGAGAGTTCTTTACCTCCTGTGGAATGCCTCCATGAGCAAGCCTTGTTTTGTAGTGTTTGAATTCCCCAAGCATCAAATCAACATACCTGTTAGTTCAAAGAGTTTAGTACATATAAGATGGCAGCAAGATTATGTAAAGAGCATTTTTAAATAAAAAATAAAAGATGTCAGCAAAGCAATTGATGGTCCGATAGGCGAAGTAAGCTTGTCCGAATCTAGTTTAAGAGCATCAACAGTGGGTTCGTTATCTAAATCAATTCAGCAATCAAATCGGCAGCTTGCCAGTGATAACTTTGCAGCTATGAACATCTAAATTGTTAACTATATCATGATTTTTTGAACTTGCGGGTACATATTTCAAAAGGGCAAATGGGGTAACAGATTGACGAAGCAACAAACCCATTGTGCTCTACACCAAGCTCCTTGACTTCCCATTTAGAGCTAGCAATCCGGTCTACATATCTGCAAAATCAGTTGAAGGTTAATGAACATACATATCCCTAGTGGGAACCAATAACATAAAAACCAAGGTTCAACTTTAACACATCACTAGAATTGACAGTGTATACACTTAACGTAACAGTTTAAATATCCAGAGGTCAGTAAGAATAAGAACAGAAGGCACAAGGGAGGGAGGAGAGAGATGCAATCCATCTAATAACTTTCTTCGGAATGCAAGCTCAAAAGTAAATAGCAATTACCCGTTAACATGCAGCAGTATCCTCGCAGTTGTCCTATGTAAGTGCTCTGTCAGATCAGGTACGGAACCAACCTGATAAATCACTCCACTTAATGCAACTCCTTCAAATATATTGCTACCACATATTGTATATAAACAGTTCTTGATTATATATATATAGAAGAAATAGCAAAGGAATAGACTAAAGCTACTTATGATCATGTCCTACAAAAACCATTATTCTTCTAGACGCAAAGACTATACGATGATATGTATAATCAATTGTATGTATATTGTCAACATTACAGCCAAACATGGGAATATATTTCAGCCAGAATTTGTCTTAATTTCGGGAATCAAAACTGAAAGAGGCGCATACCAATTGACCAAAGAAGTTTTCAACCAGAGAGCCATTTCTTGACATAAGCATTGATTGGAGATGAGCCTTTGATTTATGCAATATCCGAGCCACAAGAGAAACAGTGTCCACTGCAGCACATCTTTCCTGCAAGCGATAATCATGTGTTACAGAAACCTTTTGCAATACAATCTTCGGATGAAAGAAGATATAAGGTAGCTGCTCTTCTCTTCTCACACTCTCAACTTCGTAAATATAATACGTGAAAATAAATGAATAAGAATAATATATTTGTCGACAAAAAAAAAGAATAGTATATTTAGGTCGAAGATATAAGGTAGCTGCTCTTCTCTTCTCACACTCTCAAACTTCGTATATATCATATGTGAAAATAAATGAACAAGAATAGTATATTTAGGTTTACTAATCGACAGAAAACAATATTTCTAATAGTTCAGATTGATGAAAACCTAGCCCCAAATCATACCTTGAGGCTAAAAGATATGCCTGATACGTGACCAGTTGTTGTATTTAAGGGACTTGCTGGAGTAACGTCTGCAAGACTATGAACTGTGTTGGAAAAGCCAAGTGAAGAAGATGGTGATAACTGAGGTTTTATCCACTGCTCACACTCTTGTGATATCCGGGATAAGCAGCTTTTCAAACGATCTGCATTTCAAAGATTTGAAATATATTCTATGTTGAGCAAAATGGTTTTCGTCAGATATTGTAGCCTCAAAGCTATTAATAACCATACTGAATCTGGTCGGTAGTAAAATTACAAACAAAGAGGAGCATCAAAAGGAAACGAATCAGTTACTCACGATTAAAAGAGTCCGCAACTCCTTTTCCACCTGAATTTGTATTTTCTTGACCAAATACTTGAAACACAAAATAGAAGAAGACCCCAAACAATTGGCATATTCCCTACAAAATTCCAAACAGTTGTAAGAGGAACTTTAGAAAAGAAATCCAGGAAGAATAGTAAAGAAATCTGCAGAATTCCTAAAATTAGGATTGGTACCTTGAAGAATTCAACATTAACAATTTCTAGTTTCTGCATAAGCCTCGCGTACTTATCCATTGACCTAAGACATAGAACACATGTATCACAATAGTGACCTGGGAAAATATGTTATGGACGGCTGTCAATCTTATTTTTCCAGCATTTGCTAAACCGCATATTACCTTAGAAGACAAAGGGACGATCCTGTTTGAGCTGTGAAATCATCACTACTACTGAAATTTGAAGAACTCCTTGATATATTGCGAGTAAAACTTCGTCTTGGAAGCTGACTATCCTCATCAATATAGTCAGCGTGAAGGTCTTCGTTTTCATCTCCTGAAACAGGACTACCTCCATTACTGCGCCTATTATCTCTTTTCTTGGGATTCACGACATCATCGTGCATATTATCATTCCCTTCAAAATCCTCAGAAGCAGCTCCATTGACTGAAGAGTAATCTTGATCTTCTCTATAATAAGTTAACTTTGCAGAGAAAGGGTTTCCAATTTTCAGCCAATATGAAAATCCACTCCTGTTCCCACTGGGATCAATTGAGTCATTTGACTTATTAGAGCGAGGAAATCTGGAAGAACCAGAGCCACTGCGGGATGATATAATTAGGGGAGCCCCATCCCCCACAAGACCAGCAAAGTTAATAGCTTGTACGGTATCAGGTGACAATTTCGTCCATGTCTCCTTCTCCAGGACCATTTTAAGCGCCTGTTAGTAAGGAAAACCAAACAAAAACTTTACCTTCGCGTTATCATGTAGGAGAAGTAATGCATGAAAGTAACTAGGTATGTGGTATTGGCAATGTCAGTCCAAATGGGCATTTTAAACTGAACTTACATGCATGCTTTGCCTATGAAATGCAGTGAAATAATTTTCACATACACCCTTTAGCTTCTCCCTAAAATCAATAACTTCAAATCCACAGAATGCTTCCCCGGCAAGGATAAAGACGCTCAAGTCTTCATAATTTTTCAGGAACTGATGTATACTTGTTGAAGAAGCAGCTGGAGAAGATAGCAAAACTGACACACGGCTTGTTGTAAGTTGCCAAAGATTTCTGCGTCCTCTCTGCAGAGTTTCTGAGACAAAAGCAGCACTCTCTTTCCGTAGATAGTACCATGGTGAATCGCCACTAGAATCCCTAGACTCATCTACTGTATTATTAGACGCCTGCTGCACAGAACTGGATGTTCCACTTCCATCAGACTTTTCCGCAGAAATGGCACAAGAAGGTATGCTTCCCGAACTCACAGCTGAAGAAAGATCACCATCCTGTGGGTCGCATGAACTGTTTGGCACTGAATCAATCTTTTGAGTTGTTGCAGGACTTGGTGAAGTCAAACTTTCTACCTGTTCCAGTTAAGAAGCTTAGCCCTTAGAAACCTTTAGAGATAATTTAAATGAATTGACACTGACAACATACTGCGACGAACCTAAAGTAAGTTGACAATACATAAGATACTGAGCAACGAAGCAATCAAAGAGAAAAGATTTACTGACCCATTATCCTTCAATCCGAAAGGGAATAAAATAAAAGTATATTATACTTTAATCAAAGAATTTATCAAAATTCTTGGATAGTCAGATACTTGACATGGAGTACTTAAAAGAGAGAGAAAAATCACTTAACTGTATGTTAACTAAGAAATCAGGTAATGCGCAAGACTTGCATACATGATTAAATTAAATTCGGAGATAAAATCCATATCAACAAAGTAGGTCTTCTTTCGACACGCCACCAGACTAACAAACAAAAAGAGAACAGTTTTAAACGTATGCTAAAATTCCCTCTATTACAGCGTAATAGAGCAGTGTTTTATACAATGTGTTTAGGTATAGTTTTGCTCAAAAAATAGCAAAAAGGTCTGGACAGAGGTATTTAAAACTATGAATCTGACAAAAAATACTGTAGCACTGAAACTAGAACCAGAGGTAATAAGAAAATGTTAAATGCAAAGTTACAAACTAAGGTAGGGAATGGAACCTACCTTCGTTTCTGGCGCGAAACTCATTATCTCATGGTATGAATATATTAACTGAAACAGCACAGCTAGTGTTCTCAAAAGACATTGCCTAAACTTGGATTCTGGCGTCTGAAGACATAGATCGCTGTATGTAAGTCTGAAATAATTTAAATAAATCAGCAAGACTACTAGAATCCAAACAAAAGGACCACAGGTGAATACAAGATACTGTAATAAGTACCAGTTATAACTCAGGTGCATAGAACATACCTACTAAATTGGGTGCCAGCACTGTTATCCTACAAAAACAGTTATTCACAAGAAAAGTTCAACAATCTAATTAGTTTGATATGTTGACCTTTAAAAACTCATTTCAGTGCTCAATATGAAGTAAAAAGCATTGCAGCATATGAAAAAGATTGCGTGCACATTGATTAGATGATACATTAGGTCTACAGAGCAACAATTGAATATTTAGCTCACATACCTCCCCAACAATGGTCTTAAGCACTGAGTGGGTTTCTGAGATAACTTCCTGCATAAAGAAGCTTTGTATCTTCTCGGCCAGACCAGAGACATCACCAATCAGTGCATAAGCGTCAAGTACCTAAAAGTATGAGCAAGTGTACAAGTTATCTATTGCCACTGAACCAAATTTCTAGTTCTACGACTAAGCTAAACTGAAGGCCCACAATTCAATTGTTTTTTAGTTAACATCGTGAAGGATAGAGCTATATAGATATAACATGAGAATGAGATGTCGTACTAACCATTAAATAACTATCTTCTTTGAACTCCTGGCAAACGCCCAACAAGAGTGAATCCAGCTTATGAAGAGTTCTTCCTAACCAAACCTTTAAAAGAGTATGAGAAACTCAACCAACTAACAAGAGAAATTTATGAAGACAATGGTTGGTCATGAATAACCCATAACTACCTCAACACCACGGGTCATCTCTTGGATTGCTGAGAACTCAGATAGACTATCAAGCAGCTGCAAATACTCAGATAGAACTTGAAATGCCTACATAATATTGAATACATTTCCCTGTCTCTTTTTAGTTTGATAGCATTATGTCACCATAATTCTTATAAGAAAACCAAGATAGTATACAACAGAGACGAAAGTAAACTAACAACCTTGCAATAGTTTCCTTCTTCAGCAAGGTCTTCAAGAGTTGACTGCATTACTCTTGCATGGCGAAGATCGGTTAGTATAGGAAGCATGTCCTGCAAGCAAGTAACAAAACATTTATGCCGCTATAATTACATGGTATCCAGAGAAACAATGAGGCATGTTAGAAAAAAATGTCTTCACAGATGTTTAGATATCAATAGATACATTTAGCCCCTTGCTAATCAGGCGAGATTACACGGTAGATTGTATCTAAGAAAGTACTTGCATATAGAAAACATCCTGACAGTATCTTGAGATATTAATACAAACCAGTTAGCCACTTGATCATAGGTGATATAGAGTAATTTTTTACATAAACTTCTGAGCATGATGATGAGAGTTTCAGAAGGAAACTATAAACCATGAAAAAATTTCACCAAAACAGATTGTCTCGAATAAATAGAGAATCCTACCAAAAGAGCTTGTTTCTTCTTGGAATGAGTGTGTACAATAAGATCTCTTGAAGCCTCATTCATAGATGAAGTCAAATTTCGTCTTCCATTCTGCCAATAACACAAAAGGTCGGGTTAGCAAAATAGAAAATGAAAACACTGTTTTGTTTTTGTAAATTTGGGATAAGAATGTGAATTCCTAACCTTGCAGATGACATTGGCAATCTTCAAATCTTTTTCCAGTTCTCTAACCAAATTCATCCCCTTCACTGGCCAAAAGAAAATATTAGTATTCCCAAAACAGAACGCATATGGTCTTCTCCGTCGACATCGGTTAAGAGGGAAAAAGACAAGTCTTTTCAATTCAAAGTACTTACCCATTACTTCATGATGCTCCATAACATGATGAGACAGATTTTCTGCCACTCTATCCAGCTGTACCAACTTCAGTGTTGCCTATAAAGTAGACAAACCTTTTAAACTTATTAAACAAAACATTCATTCATCCCGCTCTAATCACATGGTATTCAATTACTTGAAGAGGAGTTAATACCTGCTTCTCGAAATAAGCTAGCTCACTTTGATCATCTGGCACATTCTCCAAAATATGCTTTACTGGATCAAAATCCTACATGAGAGAACACAACAATGAAATGGCCTATCCGCTTTAGTTGATGAGAAAGGATAAAGAAGACAGAAAATTGATGGATGGATGCACACACCTCCTCATAGAACCCTTCTTCAAGCTCTTCAACTTCTTGAGGAGGAGGTCTGTTTCCATATATTGAGCTAAGCTCAGTAGCAGAAGAAGATATACTTAATCTCTGATCAGAAGGAAGTCCAGCTAAAGCACGAGCAACAGCAGCCGCAGCTGCAGCACGTGCCGGAATCTACACAAATGGATTTAGCCAGAAACTCTTTAATTTCCCAAAACAAATGATCTTAGGAATCAAAGAGTGAAGCAAGTTAATACCTCAGGACGATCAGAGAAAGAAGAAGAAGAAGAAGAAGAAGAAGGTAAGAGTCCAAGCGATGTAGCGGATTTAACAGAGCTGAGGAATTTCTCGCCAACCTTGGATAAATCCATCCCTTGGCCTTGGGATAATAAGAAAGGGAGTAAGAAGAAAACCCTAGAGCTCTCGAAGCCACCAGCAGCACCGAGTTCGCTTAGATCGCCGCCATTGAAGAGAAAAGGATTACCCAAAACTGTGCCGAATGGGAACAGATTAGGCTGCATCTCATTTCAGATCATAGCAGTAGAAATTGCCAGAATCAAAATTTGATCCAATCCAATCTAGACGGAGAAGTTGTTAGATAAATAAAATTCCGATCAGGAAATGTATCCGATTCTCCGGTGAATCACAATCGGAGAAATGAAAGTGGAGCGGAGGAGTAAGACGACGAACAGATCTGAAGGCAAGCGTGTCCTTTTTTGGCAGGAGCTTGACTTTGTTTCTGTGCATTTGGATGGTTACAAAATAAAATTAAAAAAACAAAAATCTCTTCTTTTTTTGGTTCGAATAAAAACAAAAAAAATCTCTTTAATCCATTTTACTTTTGATAAAACTTCTCCAAAAAAAAAGAGAACGTTTGCTAAAAGCAAACATTACTACATTAGCAACGTTAATGAAATTATAAACCTTTGTTTATGTTTATACACCTCTTGTTTTCTTTTTTTTTATTTGGTCGATACACCTCTTGTTTTCTTAAAATCAGTTTCGGTTGGTTTCAAGTTTGTTCAACTCATTATTATTTGGTTTTTTTTATTATTATTGGTTTAGACTTTAGAGTAATTGGTAAACTGAATTTTGATGAAAAGTTTTGTTGGAAATTCTGGTTCAGTATGTGATTTGGTTGTTTGGGTTCAATTTTGTGTTCGATACAAAAGCTCACCTCTATTAATACAAGTGAAACACGCGATAGGCAAAAACAACGTAAAAATTACCTTGTCGGAATTTGTATTTGTATATAGAGTCGCTTACACGTGATGACACTTCTTAAGTTATATATTACAGATTTTGACACTTGTAAATAAGATGGCACTTTTTTGTAGTTTGTGGATTGAAAAACCCAATTCAATCCCTCCTTCCAATTTGAAGAACAACCGGTTTAGATAAAGTTGGTTAACCGAATTTAAAAATGGTTTACTAATTAAAAAATTACTTCTTATCTCCTCCTCTCTTTCTTTCTTTCTATCTTACGGACATTGATATCTTCTACCTCCTTCACAGACATATATTTATTTTTCTCTTTTGTACACACAGACATCTCTTTAACTCTTTTTTTCTAACATAATTAAAAACACCACCCACACAAGAAAAAAATATTCAAATCAACGAAGCAGTTTCCAATTTCTCTCTCTCTCTCTCTCTCTCTCTCTCTCTCTCTCTCTCTCTCTCTCTCTCTCTCTCTCTCTCTCTCTCTCTCTCTCTCTCTCTCTCTCTCTCTCTCTCTCACTTTCTCACAGATTCGAACCAACATACGGATCCGAAAGACAGTGATGAAGCTTTTCCGTGGATGGTGATGCAGAATTTGGATCCAGATTTACACTTGTATCTCGTGGTCGCGAATCCGCCGTTTCTGCAACTATAATTGCTTTTAGTTATGTCGTTTGTGTATGAAGATGGAGAAGAGAATAAACAGTACTAAAACAAGCTATAAAACAAGCTATATGGACAAGTACACAAATCTAATTAGTGGATACGTACACAAAAATTGCTTTCCCTATAGATATTTTTTAGTGGATATATCCTTTGACTGTAATATCATGTACATGATGTAGTTTCTTTAACCAACGAATGCTTGAATATGGTTGCCTTGAACTAAATTGGTGTGGACCTTCCATATGGACATATTATCATATACATGTCGTATTAGTTATTTTGAATATATTCGCTTAGAATCAAAGTTTGTTTGTCATGTACATGTCCACGAATCATTTAACTATAAAGTCTACATTCTATATGGTTATAGTTATATGGATAGTTAAAGTCATGTGGATATGTACACATAACTCACTCCTTGTATAGATATCTAAATTTGCTTCATATTTTTTTATGTGTTTCCATTGGCTGCCATCGGTAATTGTACATGTCCATGAAAATACAGAAGAATAAGATAATGACTTAACCATGGACATTCCGTTGATAATTTAATAAAGAGTCAATAAAATATCTATGTGGACATGTCTTAATGGACATGATTACGATGGATAAGATAATGGGGACACGATTTGAACATCAAAATATCACCTGCCTATATAAATGCATAGACAAATAAAGAAGAGAGAAGCTATGAGAGGCTGGGATATGGCATAGAAGACGACATGAACAACAACAGACATGACGACACAGACAATATGAGATATGGTGTAAGAATGATGAGTGATACAAAGCTTTGCGTCCATGTCCACGTGGATACACCCATATTGATATGAAGCTTAAAATGCATTGTGTTTATCTGTGTGGATACGTCCATAAACTTTATGTCCATCGTAAGAAGAAGCAGATTTGGTCAAGTGGGTCATCACTTGTGGACCAAATAGAGAGCGATACAACGCTTGTGTCCATGTCCACACGGATACACACATATTGATCCAAAAGAAAATCCGGATAAACATTTGGTTTTGGCAGTCAGGAGACCAACATATGATGGTGGAAAGTAGCTGCGAGCTCACCAAGAGTTTGAGAGCTTTGTCAAGAAAGGAGACCAGATCTATAAGAAATAAAGATGCAAAGAAAGATTAAGAGGGAATACAAGGAAATTATGAACCAACTTAAGGAAGATACATTAACCATGTTATCTCAAGTCTATAACAATGAATACATAACCATCGATTAGATGAATGCGTATATAAGAACTAGTGGATACTTCCATATGACCGTATGTGTGGATGTGACCATGTCTTGAAAATGCTGTTGCCGAGATCTGTTTTGATGAATCCACGAGTAAAGAACAAAATCACGATCAGCCAGATGAGCTCATTGGTGAAAACAGCGAAAGCGGCTGTGAGCTAAAGCGGTCTGTTGACGACTGAAGAATGAGTCCTGAAAGGATTATTTGATGAAAAGCTTTGCAGATCTAAAGTTTTAAAGCTGCCAGAGATGTCCCGCAGCAGAAAGTCTCTACCTCTCCTCATATTCAAATTAAAAAAGACCTAGAAATCTAGAAGAAGAAAAGAGGAATGAAGAAAGAAGAAGAAATAATAAAAAGAAGAAGAAAGTGGAGAAGAAGAAAGAAGAAGAAAAGTACGAAGGAAGAAGGAAGAAAAAGAAAAAAAAATGTTGGTTTAATAAAATTGGGTTAAAGAGATTAAATTGAAAATCGGTTAAAATGGTAAAAAGATTTTGGTTTAATAATAGGTAGGGGACATCTTGTCATTTTTCCTATGAAAGATAAAAAGAAGTGTCATCTAAAATAGATGTACCAAAAAGTGTAAACGTAAACTTAAAAAGTGATATTGGAAGTAAATATTTCTTGTATATATTATTATTCGCACAAGTTGCACATAACTTTGTTTATTATACTCAGTTTAACAGTGGTGGAAAGTGAAATGTGATGGAGCAAGGGGGACAAGCAAAGGACGAAATTAAGAAATCTAATGACAATTAAATTCTCGAAGAAAAGTAAAAATGGAACCAAAACGAATCAAATGATAATTTCTTTTAATACATTCAAATGTAAAATCTGAGTCGGATCATAGTCTACAAAAATATGGATTTTTGTTAAAAATAACCTAAAACTTGATTTTGAATACAAAAGTAGACCTCTGAAAAAACATTTGGCAGAAATAACCTAAAAAGGTAGTGAAAAGACCATTTAATCTTGTATGAGTAAACAAAAAACGGATGTCCTAATTACCGTTTACACCCTGACGAAGTTTACTAAAGAGAGGAAGAAGTCTAATAGTAGACTTCTTTTATCGAAATGAAGTCTACTAAGTAATTAAATCTGGAAATTTAATTTTAAAATTTAGAAAAAAATAATTTGGTATCAAATTTACATTCATAAATTTCGTAATCGTAACCCAAATGTACAGAAATTATTTTTTCATATTGCTAAATGGAAATTTATGTTTTTAAATTAAGTAGAAAAAAATTTATTATTTAGGTTTTAAAAGTTGTAGACTTCTATATGGAAGTCTGCTAAACCGAATAAAATAATTTTACCAAAAATTAAACCAAAATTAAACCGAAAAAATTATTCTAACCATTAAAAATTGTTCAAACCGATATATAAACCGTAGTATAACCAAAAAGATTTATCCAAGATTTTGTCTCATATATAAATAAGATGTAACCCTAACTTTTTAATGAAAAAAAAAAACTCTCGCCTCTCTCCTAAATCTCGCCTCTCTCGCCTCTATCGCCTCTCTCGTCTCTCTCGCCTCTCTCGCTTCTCTAGCCTCTCTCGCCTCTCTCGCCTCTCTTCTCACTATCCAGCTAGCCATGTCTGACTCATCTCGCACCATTGGATATCCCTCACCTTCTCTCTGCTGAGCTCAAGCTCGCTGGTGCTACCATCGTTGTTTGCAACGTCTCCCTTAACTCTGGTTCTGCGTAAGCTCGCTGTCTCTTTCTCTCTCCATATTTGGCGTTTGGATCTTCGTATTTTCTCAATTTTTTTAAGGTTTTACTTGTTTTATCATTTGATTTCTTTCTAAATCTGGATTTTAACTTGTTTTAATGGATTTTGGAGAACACTATTGAGTTGGTTTTATTTCTTTTTATCAGTGCGAAGACGTCGAAGCTGCTGTTGCTGCCAGAGCTGTGAAAGTGGAGGACATATCGGAGGTTGAAGCTGGTGGTGGAGTCAAGGGGAAAGTGACAGATCCCTTTGGTTTCGCCTGAATCTTCACTTCTCCGGCGAAAAAGACTGATAACTGTTTTTGGTACCTTTAACGATTTGGGATTTTCTTCAATTTTTTTGGGTTCTGGATTGTGCTTGTGATAGCCTCTAGATTGTGAGATGTTTAAATTGTATATATACAGGGGAGAGAGAAGAGGTTAGAGTTTCTGGGTACTAAAGTCTTTGGGAGTGAACTTTGTTTCACTTTCACTCTCAGTTTTGTTCTTGGTTGTCTTCTTAGTTATGGTCATTGTTTTACATTCTAATCGATGTTTTTGGTTTGGAAAATTTAGGTCAGTTTATGTAATGTGAATTTAAGATCTGTTTTGTAATCTACTCATTTTTTTCATTTTGTGATTATAGAAAAGGAGAAGTTGTACCTTTTTTTCAATGTACCAGAAATTTAATGATTCCAAAGGAACCTTTGAGTCAAAACAATACTAAAAATTCTGTCACAATTCAAACCGAGCAAACTCAAACAATTCAAAATCAGATTTTCATTTGACAATTTTTTTTTCAAATGAATACAACCAAATTTCATAGACTTCAACAATTATGAAATACAAATAGATGGTAGGGTTGAAAATTTTTGTAAGTCTAAACAGAACAAGAAAAATTGAACCATAATTATAACACATAAACATATTAAACTCATAGGTAGTTTTGTAAGAAAAAATCTCAATAGCAAACGTAATTACAAATCACATTGTAGCAAACACAGATATCAAATGATTTTACATCGAAGACTTCGTTTAAAGACTTCGTTTGAAGACTTCGTAGACTACATGAGAAGTCTACTTTGATAAGCTAACTAGCTTAAAAATTAAAAAATCTGATTCCGCAATAAATATCGACTTAAATGAAATGAATATCATTGAGTAGTTCAATCACTTGCTAACAAGCATTTCAAAACCAAAAAATTGAAAACAATACTTTATAAATGTACCAAAAAACGTTTTTAAAATAAATACAATAATACAATAAGTAGACTTCTAATACAGACTTCAAACATAGACTACACGACAAAATCTACTTTTGATAAGCTAAGTAGCTTAAAAATCGAAACTTTTGATTCAACAATAAATATCGAATGAAATGAAATAAAATTCACTGGGTAGTTCAATCACTTACTAAGAAGCAATCCTAATCCAAAAAATTAAAAAATACTTTATAAATTTGCCTAAAACGCGTTTTAAAAAAAACTGCAATAAGTAGACTTTTAAAGCAGACTTCAAACGTAGACTGGAGAAGAAGTCTACTTTTTTCATAGTGAAGTCTACTAAAGAAGTCTACTAACCAATTCATTGACTTTTTCTTTAGTAGACTTCAGAAGTAGACTTCCGGCCAAAAGGTTACTTTAGCATTTGACCAAGTCATTGACTAACAAAGTAGACTTCTATTGTAGACTTCATGTAAGAGTAGACTTCTATTGTAGACTTCTCTAACAATCTACTTTTGAAGTCTACTTTTTCAATAGAAGTCTACGGAAAAAAATAGGTTATTTTTGCAATTGACTATCTTTAGTAGACTTCACTGTGAAGTCTACTCAAAAAAAAATTCCTTCTAAGTTTGACCGAAAAATATAAGTAGACTTCCCAAAGAAGTCTACAATTTTTAGACTTCTTTCTGAAGTCTACTGCAGCTTTCCGGAGTTTTCTGAATTTTTTATTTTTTAAAAAACTTTAGTCAAACACTAAAATGACCTATACGTTTTTTGTCAAACTACAAAAGTAACTTAAAAGTAGATTTCTTGTGCAGACGTAAACAGTAGACTTTAGAAAGAAGTCTACATTAAAAAGTCAAAAAGACGGTCAACTACAAAAATAACATCTTTTCTTGCGTAGACTTCTTAAGCTTTTAAATGAAATCTACTATGCTTTTTTTTGTTTTCAAAGGATATCGAGTAGACTTCTCGTGAGGTTTAATGAAATCTATTTTTAAAAGTCAATTGCAAAAATAACCTTATGTTGATTAGTAGACTTTAGTATACTTCATGAGTCTATTTTCACGATATGAAAACTGAAATATGGAGAAATTGAAGTGCGACGATTAACTTTAACAAAATTGAGCTCGGCTACAGTTCTTTTAAGCACCCAGTACTCATGATTTCACCAAAAATAAACAATGCAGATGTCAAATAACCAGAAATCACCGAAAATGCATGATTTTTGGCACTGTAACTTAACCCAGATATTTTAGAGAAAAGATTATGAAAGAATAAGAAAGTTATGAATGAACTCAAATATTTATTTATTACAGCTTTAAAATTAGTTGAGAAGCATTTATTCCATTTTCATGATTATTTATGGTGGTTGAAAAAATTAAAAAAAATAGCATTTTCGTAATTAAAAGATCTTTAGAAAGTCTAAACAAACTTTAGCCAAATTAAAAAAAAATCAAAAAAATAAATGTATAATAGCATTTTCGTTAATAATTTAAAAGAAAAGGATAAAACTGTAAAAAAAGTCAAAAATTAAATAAAGAGAAAAAAAAAATTAGCTTAGTGTCCGACTTTGAAATATAAATTAAATCTGATACTCTCCCACAAAAATAACCATGAGTAAAACGCTTCTCTTTTTTACCACAACGACAAACCAAGGTTAGATCATCGTCGAAAACCAAAGCGCATTAAAGTCCTAATTGAAAATACTGGCCGTAACTTTTTCAAATATTCACAGCCAAAAACCCAAAAGGCCAAAAGATAAGTTATAAGAAAACCAAAACCGAATTGTTTCTGTGTTTTTACTTTCGGTTGTTCAAAAGTGACTTGGGATCATCAGCAGTAGAACATAACGTCCTTGACGTTATCTTTGATTGCTGGAAGATGCGAGACGAATGTACTTGTGCTCGTGGTCGTGTTCCTGGTCTTGCTCGAACCTCCATCAGAAAACTCACTCTCCATGTAATAGCGAGCCCTGAATGCAGCCAAGTGCGCATAGTAAGCCGGTGGCACAATCGAGACAGATCTTGTGCACCTCGCAAACCTACCAAAATTTCATGTTTTCTGTTATTAACATGTAAAAAGGAAAAGCAAAAGGTATGTATCTATGTTGTTACTTACGTGTAGCAGAGGTTGTTGGTAAGCATTTGCAAGGCATCAGCAGTGAAACCGTTATCATCGTAAAGGACATGGTAATGTGCAGGTCTGCTTGTTCCCTATAAACCATTAAACACACATTTCATAAGAAACTTATAAATTTGATGACACAGACGAGTTTTTTTATGTTTATTGGTGGAAGCAAGTGTAAGGAGATTAGATTGATTACCTGAATACCAGAGTGGCTGTTCAAGTAGAAGTCAAACTCTGTCGGGTGACAGATTTTGGTGTCAACGACCGTGCCTAAAGAAGAGATGTTACATGTGTTTATCATCGAAAGAATTTACGTTAATAAAAGAGAAGACTGAGAAGATACCTGGAAGGATATTGCCACTCCTATCAGTCGTTTCACGGTTCCCATGCTGAGCAGGAAACAAACGAGTGTGGTGTCTTTTCTGGACAATCACAAACGTGATACGGGGAAGATATCCTTCTTCGAGAGAGTTAGTTGCTTTGTGAATAGCATGTGTCTCGTGGAGCAGAACCTGGTTAAACTGTCCTTCGCTGACTCCGTCGCTGCATAAAAGATAAACAATTAGCCAACAGAGATTAATGTAAAACCGAGCATTGTTGAGGACAAAGTGGGAAAATTTAGAGACTGAGAGCAAAGATCAAATATGACATACCGGAAGAAGATGATCCTTTGAGGTTTTTGACCAGTAGCCTTCCTGAAAGCCATGAGATGCTCCCTGAATTCACAAACAATGCTCTTACAGTGTTTCTGAAATATGTTTCTGAAATATCAAAGAATACAACAAACAACAAAACATAGAGCTTTCGTTATTACCTTATCAAACCAGAATGGACTAACCCTCGCTGAGGATCCTGCACCAGCTTATACAGGTCCTGGATGATTTCTTCCCTATGAGCCTGAGCAGAAACCAGTCCTCGGTATTTGGTTATCTCAGGCCAGTCCATTGAAGCAACCACCTATAGTTAAAAACAAAATAAAACAGAGAGATTAACTTTATATGTTGACTGAGCAGGATAATGCGATAAGTAAAGGGAAGCAAGATTTACCGCAGCAATCGAAGGACTCGAGTCCTCTCCAGGTTGGGGGTGAGTCACGTCTGCACCCATGATTATGGTCGGGCGGTCCGTAATCAGTGGAATTCTTCTTCTAATAGCATCGTCAAGAACTGTATTACGTCCACCAGACTGTAAAATACAAAATAAGCTTTCAAGTTAAAACATCATAATTATAAAGAAATTAAAGGATAACAACAAGAAAGGTAGATGACAAGACCTTGACATTGATCTTCAAAGCGACATTTTCCATGTACTGCGGGCTGAGTTTACGAGCTTGGTTTGGTTGACAACACTGAGAGACTATCCCTAGCTCCGTTTCACAAATCCTTTTGATCTTTCCTGCAGATAAAAAAAAAAAAGAGAGAGAGTCTATAAAAAGAGAGAGAGAGTCTACGAGCTTGGAGAGAGAGAGAGAGAGAGAGAGAGAGAGAGAGAGAGAGTCTATGCCTTTACTTATCACAAACTTACCATAAGATCCAGACAGATCAGGCAAGATTACAATCAAAAGTTGGAGACCAGGAGCGCCAGGTGATGGTGGTGGTGGTAACCTTTTGTGGATATCTCGAAGTGCTTCCTCGATTTTTTGAGGTGTAGAAAAGACGGGTGGCATAACAGGATTTGGATTTATTTGCTGCAATGAAGGATAAAAGCAGTTAGAGACCTTTTTGGTATGAAACAATCGTGACAAGAGGAATCCAAAAGCATGAAACAAGACATACCATTCCTTTGCTCACGCACATGCCAGTTAACTGTTTGTAGAACTCTTGGGTCAAACCTCGATCAAGCCGAGTCGAGAAACTAACACAAGTCCAGGTAGCAACCCTTGCTCCATTGATCATTTTCTAGAAACAAAAAACACACCCAAAAATACGTAAGAGACTGAGACAGTTGATATCACACGTAAAAACCACAATAGAAGCATACGGCAAAAATCTTCTTTAGCCAAAATTTCTTCAATATCCAGTCAAAGCAGTCAAGTAAAAGACTTAACAAAACAACAAAAAATGCAGGCATACTTCTGAAACAACTAACAAGTTTCTACAGCGAGCAAAAAAGAAATCATGATGACAGTTAACAAAAGTTTTACCTTGTCGATCATGTTCCACTGTCCTAGCCTTGGATTCACCATTTTTTCTTTACCACTTTCATGGTATTTTAACTGTAGACATAAGCGAAATCTTGTAATCAGAATCATCGAAAACAAAAAATGTATAGTAATAAAGAAAAACAATAACAAAATGGAGTCGAGAAAATTACCATTGGAGGAGGAAGCACACGAGCCTCAACTGATGCTAGCTGATCAGTGACGGACATCCCAAACTCCTTGCTCACAAGCTTAATCTCGTTATATCCATTCTTCTTGACCATCTAACAATAGAAACAATAGACGCAAGGTTTGTCAACACAGGGATGCAAAATTACAGACTCTTTGTAACAGTCAAGCAACTGTTGTGAATGTAATGCAAAACGGACTAAACCTACCCCTTTGATCGCATTCTCTCTCTCCGGAGGTCGTTGGCAGGTAGCTCTTAGCAACGCAGTCACCTGCCTCTCATTGAGCTTTTTGGTGTATCGCTGGCCTTCAGCTATTTGACAGAGCTGCCAAAACCAAGAATAAGCAGATCTTAATGACTAAGACAAAAATGATGAAGGTAAACACGAAAAAGAAATGTTCGAATAGAAACCATACTTCCATCGGCAGATACGAAGGCTTTGAGTCACTCCCTGATTGAATAGCAGGTAGACAAGGGTATTTCACCCTGTAGTTATATTTTTCAGCAAAATACTGTACCACAGTTTTTTGGGAATTGTCCTCCAAAGTGAAACTGAAATTGACAAAGAAAAGGTGAATATCAACTTAATTTGAAAACAATAGATAAGAAACCTATTACAAGAGAAGTGCAACGAAATAAAAAGTACAACAACTGCATTTTATTCAGGTTTATAGAAATAAGAAACTTCACCTTAGCTGACTGATGGGACAGCTGGAAATCCCACTGATCTTGGAACTTCTTGCGAAGTCAAAATGTGCCAATTCAACTCTTAAGCTCTTCAAAGCTTTCTTCACCTGGAAACCAACATATAATTTACGAGATAAGAATCGTATACACAACTCCATCCTCTTTTATAATATGACTACTCAACAGGTTGATAAATACCTTGACTCGATCTGAGTCATTCAGTGGCCTGCTAAAGTCTCTCAGATTCAGATATTTTATGATGAAGTCAGTGACAAGAATCGGTTCATAGAAAGATCTAGCTGACACATCTGCATCATAAAAAACAAACACATCCACAATGCATCAGAGTAGTCTCCAGCAAAAACGTAAATGGATGGAAATATTCAAATCTCAATCAATCAAAAATAAGATAAATCAACCGCAGCATTTCAGCTAAACATTTATCAAGCTCTTACCGATGTTAAGAGACAGTCCCATTTGTGTGAGTCTGAGAGACTGGAAATATCCACCCCAGTACTCAACACCATCACCAAGCGGACCCTTCTTTCCCAAACCAGGGTCGAAAAAAGACCTCCCAACAGTGACATACCTGAATAGAAAACAACACAGCTAATGTTTAGTCTATGCATATGAATATCACTCATGGAAAGTTAGAATCAAACCCCAAACTTTTCTTACTTCTCAGAGGGCGTATCCCTGAGAACAACATCAAGGACTTGAATAGCCTCGTATGGAACATCTCTTTGTTTCCGGCGGAGAAATTGCTGCAACTGAAAAAGGTCAGGTCTCGACGCCAGCTTTATAGCAACCTTAAATTTCCTTTCCCTCCTGCCATTAAGAATAGACCCACAATGAAGAAAAAGTGATTGCTAATAAAAACTAAACCTGTTCAACATACACTTACCTAGAAGAAGAACCAGCAACTTTCTTGTCATTTAAATCAACATCGAACTCTTTAGACTCAAAGGGCAGTGGCCCAGCAGTGTATATACTCTTCCTCCCATCATAGGCAGGAGTCTTCTGTGCTAAGTGTGATTCTCCATAGGTACGCACCAGAGTTGTCATCACGTCTCTGTTCACCTTCTTTGATATCACCTCAGGACTGATTGAGACCTGTGAGAATAACAGATCAAACAAATATCAAACCCAGAAAGTTTCATTCGCCAAAAACAACAACGCTAAGTGACAAAAAAAAACAAGTCAGAAAAATGCAAATACAGAAAAGCAGATTCGTCGCGTCTCTGTTCAGATTTACGGAAAACAAAACAGAAAAACACGGATCAAACTTTTATAGAGGTTGCTAAAGCCCTTTGATGAAACAAAATCACAAAAAAAAATGTCAGAACCAGATTCAGCGTTTACGGAAACAAATGAAGAAATCCCTAGAAAATGGTGTGATAGAAACGAAAATATTTCAAATCACCGAACCAAAATAGAAAAAAGACGACGAAGCGTCGATTAGTCATACATAAAAAACACGAGAAAGCATAAAACGAAACGACACTTACATCGTAGTGATAGAGATCTCTATCCGCAACTTGAACGAGGAAATGATTCGCGCGAATCGTCAATTTCTTCCCCGCTTGACCAAACCCAGGCCGGACCACGTGCGTCAACGCCTTCGAGGACGCCGGAGAAAGTGTCGTCTCCGGAGAAATCTGGACCGTCTCCGCTAACTCCTGACCAAGTTCCGAACCAGAGTCAGACTTCGAGACCTTAGGTTTCTCCCGTACGGACGTCGCTGAAGACGAAGCAACGACACCGGCACCGGGAGCAACACCCGACGGAGCAGACGAAGAACTCGCGCTCCGATCTCCAGTAACGACGGGTGTATTTCCCCGTCCGGCGTTTCCACGGCCTCTCCCGCCAGAACCCGAACCTCCACGGCCACCGGAGCTCTGCAGTCCCGGCCACGCAACGGAACCAGATGACTGCTCCGGTCTCTGGTCAGACCGACCCCTTCCTCCGCCGCGACCAGCACCACCGTAGCCACCACGCGACGACATTGCGACGGAAAACTTCTCAAAGAAGAAACAAAAAGAAATTTGAAAACGAGAGAGAGAAAGAGAGAGAAAGAGAAAAAAGGAGACTGCAGTGTACGAAGACGAGAGTGAGATGGGTCTCCGTTTTTAAAGTATACTGTAAAAATCCCAGACGGTTATTATCCAGAATTTTTACATTTAGAAAGAAAATAAAGTCATGCGAAATTACCACGTAGCCCCTGTCGCTTTGCTTTACCTCCACGTTCGTCGAAATCTCCTCTCCTTTCCTGTGGGTCCTACGTCGTAACAATTTTCATTTAGATACAGAAACTATCCCATAATTGCTATTTGCCTCCCTACACTCTTTCCAAATTTGGTATATGACTCTTTATTAATCTACACCCAAAAAAAAGATACTTTTTTGCTCTTTTTATGATCGACAATGAATGTAAAAAATATTCAAAACGTGTGACATTTGATATTCTATTTGCATTTCATTAGTTTCCTTGTAAATTATTAAAATTCTAAACAAAATATTACTACATTCAATAAAAATCCACTAAGCTAATATGATAAGATTGAAATTGATATCTGACAACATTCATAATTCCTTCTATAAATGCTATTAACTAGACCACATCATGTCTTTATAGCATCTTTGTATTCGCTACGAGGTCTGATTTTGTTATTTTAATGATGTGCAAGATACTGGTTTTGAATTAAAGAGAAAACTGTTTTTCTTTGTTCTTATCTTCTTTTTTTGTACGATAGCCTTCCTTTATTTGCTTTTTTTTGTTTGGTTTGAATAGTGATAATGATCTTTGTGAATTTAGTTACTTTTAATACTAGGCTACTTTAGTACAATAATAAAAAAAGTAATATTCAACAACTCTTAAAAGTGATTTTTATTTTGTTTAGTAGACAGTTAAGGACCAACCAAATTTTAAATATAAGTAGTGATCGAACAATATTAGTTTGCAAATGTCTCAGTTCATGTTTTACGTTTTAGATGGATTTACAATTAGTATAAGTGGACTAACGACTGGATATATCATATGCACTGTAATCATCAGCTTTTGTTGTCATAATTCTAACCATTGTAGTTTGACTATAATTATATAATCATAGTCAACATTTATAGACTTACGTTTTATGTAGTCTTCACAGTTTGATTTACGACTATCATATGGTTCACTATAACCATCATTTATTATTGTCACCATTTATACACTTACGTCACTATTTATTTCTATTTTTGTAGTTTGACTAATTTTTATTCAGTATTTATACATTTATGTTTTATGTAATTTTTGTAGTTTGCCACTAATCAAAATCTCTATACTGATTACGCAATTACATATGGTTCATTATAATCTTATTTATCGTCGTCAACATTTATACACTTACGTTTAATCTAGTTTCCACAGGTTGATTAATGACTACCGTATGGATATCATTGTAACCATCATTTATACACTTACGCTTTATGTAGTGTCTTTTTTTTTTGGTAAAACGGTTTATGTAGTGTTTGTAGTTTGACTAACAATTTATAATTACTATATTCATACACTTACGTTCTATGTAGTCTTTGGAGTTTGACTAATGATGCCATAAAATTCAATGTGATTCTCACTTATTATTATTGCCATTCAAAATCTCTATGATTACGCATCAAATATATCTAGCCATTGTAGTTTGACTAACGATTACAAATTGTTTCACTGTAGTTTGACTAATTAGCATCGTCAACATTTATACACTTACTAATATATATTTTTTGGGTTAAAATGTAAAGATTACTATATATGCTTACTAATATGCTTTCTCTGGTCTTCATAGTTTGAATAACGACTACTATATATATATATATATGACTACCAAATACACTTATGTTATATGTAGTCTTTCTAGTTTGACCAACAGTTCATAATTTTTATTTATTGTTATCGTTATTTATACACTTAGGCTTTTTGTAGTTTGTCTAACGATTACATATAATTTACCGAAAACCATATTTAGTACTGTCACCATTCAAATTCTTTACTATTCAAACTTTTACATAGATGGATTTGTAGTTACTGCATGTTGACTAATAAATATACATGTTTCATTGTAATGAACAAACTCAGGAATAACCATTCATAAAAACTTAAGCTAATGTCCACACAAAAAAGGATTTGCAAGGTTCAAAGAACATTTGGGAATAATGTGTATAACTATACTTTTCATGAAAACTTTGACTCAAATATTTTGCCAACTATGTGGAAAACCAAAAATGAAAATTTACGAGCAAGAGAGCAAGTAACCATTTTATAATCGGTGTCTGATTCGGTTAGAAAGTTCGGACATATATAGATGATAGATCGACCTATAAATCACTTCATAAACCAACTCCGTCTCCTATTTCAAACAACAAATCTAAACCATGATAATAACAAGCTAAAAAAAAAAAAAAAGATATGCAGGTGTCAATACCCTGTATTGTATTTACTTGTCAGAAAATACAAAAAGCACTCACTACTTTCTTTTACACACGATCCGCGCTTGCATGCGCCTTCTTGTCACATTCGTGTTTTACTTGTCACATTTGTGTTTTACTTGTCACTTAGTGTTTTTTTTTATGTCTCATGATTTATAGCGTAATTTATAAAAGTGGATATTGATCAGTTAAACGAAGGGAGAGTAGTAGATCGAGCTGTATACCAAGGTGAAATCTATGAATAATTTGTTACGGATATGCATTGATTCTTGAACCAAAAAGAGATATTGATCCAAAATCTGAGTAAGCAAATTCGTTTCATGTTTTGTTGTTGTTAGAAATCTCATAAATCCATAATTATAGCCATCAGGTATATTCATTTCTTAAGTACTAAGTTACAAACCCTTTTAAAAATTACAACTATTAATAATCTATCAAACAAGTGTTCAAGAAAAAACATGATCGATCTCACCGCTAAGGATAAACCAAAAGCTAATTTTATATTTAAGTCAGTTTTTGAAAATTTCTTTTTGAAAACATTGATAAACAAAAGTAAGTTGCAAACACCCTTTTGAAAATTATAATTATTAATAACCTATTAAACAAGTGTTCAAGAAAAAACAAGATCGATCTCATCGTTAAGGATAAACCAAAAGCTAATATTATATTTAAGTCAGTTTTTGAAAATTTCTTTTGAAAACATTGATAAACAAAAGTCATATAATTTTGTTTTTCTTACAAACGAACATACTCGTGTAGTGGTGGCTTGCTTCTAGTAGAAGCAGGAACCCAACTATCACTCTTCTTCGCTACTGCTTACCAGATCCGACTCCTATTGTTATTTCTGAGGCGATGACCTGTTTCTTTGGAAGGCAAGTGATCGCTCTCCATCTTCTTCCTTCTCCTTGGCGCATACTTGGGAGGTCATTCAGGGACAGAATGTGGAGATGGATTGATATGATTCGGTCTGGCACAAGCACCGCATTCCCAAGCATGCATTTCTCACTTGGATAACAGTTCAAAATAGGCTACCTACTCGAGACAGAATGAGAGGTTGGGGTTTGAATGTTCCTTCTTCTTGTCTTCTTTGCAATTCTTTTGATGAGTCTCGATAACATCTTTTCTTTGACTGCACATTTAGTACCGAGGTATGGTCTTTTTTCTCCTCCAAAGCCCATCTGCAACCACCTGCTTCTTTTGAGGATGGTGTTAGATGGATTAAAGACCCGTCCAGAGACAAGAATGTTGCAGTCATTATTCGCCTCGTGTTCCAAGCCTCGATTTATCTAATTTGAAAAGAAAGGAATGCCCGACTACACTCATGTATCTCTCGCCCTGCTTCAACAATCATCAAGGAGATTCAATCAATCCTTCGATGCAAGTTGGACCCTATGTCGAGAGCTCAGAGAAATCTTCCCCACACCACCTCTTTCCTTACAACTTGGTTTGCTTTCTTTCAGGGCTAATATTCTTTTTTGATAGCTGCTGACTTAGATGATAGTTTTTGGTTTGTAGCAGACCCTGTTTTTGTTGTGATCTGAGATAGGAGCACTGTAACCCTGCGGAGAGCTTTTGTATCCACCTTCTAATATTTGGCAATGGTTAAAAAAAAATGTTTTAAACTATGACCTAATTAATATTTTACCTTTTACCGTTAAAAAGTTAGACCAGCTCCATCAGAATGCCTTACCTCATTTTCGGCACAGATTCATAAGCAAAAACGATTTAATTTAAATAAAAAATCCAACATTTTTGATGGACCGATCCTTAGCTAAGAAGTGCAGGAGACTGTCTCTTGCGCGATGGGGAGGAAACTGATTGGTTCATATTTTTTTTATGTTTTATTTGTTTTGCATATTATTTTATTTGGAAAATCATTTCCTCCTCTTGGGTCCAAAAAATGACTTCTTCTTTCTCTCTTTTCTCTCGTTCGTATCGTCTTCAGATGGTTGATGATGAAATAGATTTTGAATTCGCTGAAGACGTTGTTGAAAGCGAAACCGAGTCACTGAAGACAAATGGAAGCAACAGAAGAAGAACAAGACGATGACAAAGCAAAAAGTGGAAGAAGAATGACATCGACGAAAACAGAGCAAGAGACAATATGAGTTACACTAATGGAGGAGAGAAATACAAGAATCTCTTAAGTACTTTTATCTTAAAAAATAATGAATAATTTAATCTTAAGAGACCCGACATCAGATACACTAATGGAAATGGTCTTAGTAACTCAAATTAATACTTTTTTCAACCGATCAAGTTAAAAACAATAAAGAAATTGAGAAGCACTAGATGAGAATTTTTAACAATCCTGATTGCTTTTAAGTTTTAACCAGCCTGATTGCTTTTAAGTTTTAACCAGCCTGCCTGATTGCTTTTTAATTTGCTCTTGTTTAAATTTGTTGGGCTTGTACTATTGAAAATATTATTTTATTGATTAATTTACGCTGGTTTCACGTAAAGTAAACAAAAACCAAAAAGAAAAAATTTTCTCGTAAAGTAGAGGGAAATTTTTTCTCACACGAGGAAGATATTTAATTTTCTGTCTTTTCTGTCTCCCATACTTTTACTCTGGCAAATTTACCAGCGACAACTTCAATAAATCTGGAAAGAGTTACTGTGAACAAGGAGTAAGTTTCTCATATTTTTTTCTGATACTTTCTAAGTTTATCATAGTAATGATTATAAAAAGATCTCATTGTCATGGATTAGTATAGCACTAGTCGTAGCTATGCCTACAAGGCTAATAATAAATACATAAGGATACAAAAACAACAAAATGTACGTAAATGGATTTGTGCTGCAGCATCCACATTTTAAATAAAGGTTATTGGGGACTGGGAAGTGTGTTTTCGAGGTGGTTTGCTTCTCGGAAAGGTTCCTAATAATTATTTTTCATCATGTTTTCTCTCCTTTTTTTTTCTTTTGTCTTTAGCTCCTTTTAGAACAAATTATTAAGAAAAAACTATTAATGGAAATTTGGCATGTTACATAAAATAAAGATGAATTTTGTTTACCATGTGAGTATCAATGATCGAACTGTCGACAGCTAAGTGGCTATGAGGCACTCACATGAAGCCAATTGGTACTCATATGCTTTATCTCACTCAATATATCCCAAGTAACTTTGTTACAAAAAAAAAGATATATATCCCACATAACTAAATTCATTTTCGCTAATAATGATAAAATGAAATTTTGATATAAATACGGAATTCGAAACAAAATGATCTTTTTGAACTTAAGTTGTTGTATATGATGAAAGCATAAGATTAGAAAATAATATGAGATGAGAATATTTCATTTGGATGATTTGCAAGCAAACTTTTTCACTTGAGTTTGCATATTTTCGTACCTCCACTTCTGATACTAGTAGATACTATTCTCTACTTTCCTTTTCCCTAAAGGTAAAGACATAGATCCCATTAACCATGTACAAAAAGAATGTAAGTAACCTTTTGTTGATATATAACATCATTTTAACAATACAGTATAACTATTTCTCAATTGGAATATTTGGATAGAGAAACGATATTTAGAAACTTATACGATAAATTAAACGTAAAATGCATCAGAAATATTAAATTTGGAATTGAACCTTTGTATGAGTACTTCTGAGATTTAGTTGAAATAGCGTACCAGATTCTTCAGCTATTCATTTTATCATGTACACTAAATTAAATCGATATGAGAGCATGAAAATCTCAAATAGTCATATCCCAAAGATATTTTTTGTTTCCTGAGTATATTAGTTTAAATAAGACCATGTTTATCAGAGAAATCCATTTGGTTTTTAAGAGATTATTAAACTAATAATGTTAAGTTAAGAGATCAAATAAGTAATCTTGAATTTTTGGAAGTACATTGGAGAAACTCAAATGGAATTTTTTTTTTTAAAAAAAAATTTATATAAAAGAAGTTTTTTTACAACATTTTTATATTTGAAAACAACCAAACTTAACAGAACATAATTGAGAAATAAGGGATTGTTTTCTTTTACTTCAGTCTCTGCAACAACCTGATGCACGAAGAAAGTAACCGTTTATTTGCGTCCATTTAAACAAAAACCACGTCAAAACAATAAACAGAGATCAAAGACGCAAACCTTAACTAGGGTGTTCGAGTCAGCTCCGTTCTGTTCTTGAATGATCCGTGCATTTGGTTTGAAGCTGTGGTTGCACATATCTATCAGAGGAAGCATCATGGGAACATCATCAGAAGATCCACCTTGAAGCTTTTATCACCATGTAAGTGAAAAGCTCTAGTCGAAACAGCTGACATGGTCGACCCGAGGGCGGATGCATTTACATCTTGGCCGCTGAAAGGATGATCACTGGCCTTAACATCTTCAAGAGTACTCCTAATCTCTTGCTCAAACTCAGGAAGCAAAAGGGAATCTTTTATTGACCTGGTCCCAAAGAAGGCAACAAAGCCGCAAATCATCTAATGGAATTGCTAAAGAGTGAGACTCAAACTCGATTAGGTTCAGCAGTTTTGTCTATCTAATCTGGTGGAGAAGAGGAGCATATTGCAAATTCTTTATATCTTCTCCGGGAAAGAATATTGGAACGGAATAAGTTTCCAGGAAATTGCTAATGTATGGCCACCAGAAAGAATCTCCATTAGATCTCTCTTACAATAGTCTCAATCCCAATTTCATTGCCCACAATTCTTCTGCCAAAATTCTCCAGCATTTTCTCAGTCATTAAACGATTATTAATACACCAAAATTTTAGAAACTTGATTTTACAGAATTCTATGAGCTAAGCTTTAGATTCAAGAAGATACAAAACCAAAATGTAACGTAGAATCTCAAGAGATAATCATTTGTTTTCGAAATCAGTATTCTCTAAACTAACCAGTAATCAAGACTATTTCGTAGGGAGCATTGAACAAGAGCAAGAGATAAACACTCACCGGGAACTCGACGAGCCAAAGCGGCGAGGTGAACGGAGTAGGGTGCCCTGAGACAGCTTGACGGCGTGGTGAACGAAGCCGCCTTCTCTCTTCTCTCTTACCAAAAGACTCGGACTCGGTCCACTGTTGCTCGAGGAAGAAAAGATCCGGAACTAGGCGTACGGACCGGGTTTAGTTTCTATTCGGGTTGGATATGACGGCTGGATCCATTGATAGAATTCAATCTTTGATCGGAAACGGCGAGTATCGGTGAAGACGACGGTGAAAGCGATAGGGAGAAGGAAGAGGTTTCGTCGAGGAAGAAAGAGAAAAGAGAAAAAAAAAGTTGGGTGGTGATTTCACAAACCAATCACAACTCGACATGTGGCGGCTAAGAAATGTTTCCGTCGTATGCGAAATAAGAAACGTTTCTCATATATTAACCCATTTTCCATTTATTTTTTGGGTCCAAAATTGTTAAGAGATCAATAAGATGCACCGATAAACATGCTCTAAACACCTCATTTGATATATCTAGAAAAACCGTTTTTGTAAACGCGATATTGTATCAATCTCACATCTAAAAAATGCTAATGAATGATAAAGTGTAACTACTTCACTTTAGGACTATTAAAAATCTTAAGATTTAATCTTAATCAAAACATACGATTATGTGTCATCTAAATTCGTTACGTATATAAAAAAAAGGAGAGGGATCTCCAATGTTGATTGGTTGGGTTTTGGTCCATGTAGAGACTCTTTGTATTGATCCCAAAACCATAATTTGGTCTCTCTTTTTTCAACTGCCACATTTTTCATCGATCTTTTTATACTGTCAATTAAATAAAATGATTAAAAGTCTCAACAATTTTTCTTATGAGTAACCTCCGTGTTTTAAGTATAAGAATTTTCTGCCGACAACACATAATTTATATAGAACAACTAAACATAAAACACTCAAAATTGAAATTATATAAAAATTAACAGTCGTAGAACTCCAATATAATACTCCCTCTCTTTAAAATTTTGACACACATATTAAAAATCACTTATTTTTATTTATTTCTAAACTAAAATTTAATTCATTATCTATTTAACCATAATTTAGTGAACAACCTAAAGGATAAAATGATCAAATAAAAGGAATTTAGTTTTAAAGAAGAAATGTGATTTTATTGTGATATAGAGAATCAAATATTTCATCCTTATACTGAGATCCAATTTTTTTTTTTAGAAGAAATGTGATTTTTTTTAAAAAAGTAAAAATAAGTGGAAAATATCACGTGGAAATACAGAATAGGCGAGTATAATCCACGCGCCAACAAAGAAAGTGGGAATTAGATTATGACGAAGATTTGCCTCCATTCACATGCGATGCCCCCTCATAAATATCCACCGTCACCACTCCCTCCTTTACCAATCTCTCTCTCTCTCTCTCTCTCTCTCTCTCTCTCTCTCTCTCTCTCTCTCTCTCTCTCTCTCTCTCTCTCTCTCTCTCTCTCTCTCTCTCTCTCTCTCTCTCTCTCTCCTTCCTACTCTTTTACAGCCATTTGCGCATTGTTGTTATCTCACAGAGAGAAAGAGAAAGCGTGCGGATATATCGAAGGATTCTTCTTTCTCGGAGAGAAATCTGATTCTCGTTTTCTCAGAGAAAATAAAAATGGCGAACGGAGCTGGTAGAGTGGATCTGGACGGCAGACCGATAAAGCCGATCACGATATGCATGATCGGCGCCGGAGGTTTCATCGGCTCGCATCTATGTGAAAAGCTGATGACGGAGACGCCGCACAAGGTGCTTGCGCTCGACGTTTACAACGATAAGATCAAGCACTTGCTCGAGCCGGATACGGTTGATTGGGCGGGTCGGATCCAGTTTCATCGCATCAACATTAAACATGATTCCAGGCTCGAAGGACTTATAAAAATGGCGGATCTGGTATTATGTTCGCTTGTTTCCTTATCGCTTTATCTGTTTTTTATTGTTTAAACGGTTGAGAGAATTGAAAAAATTGACAGTTAGTGCATTCATGATTGATGATTGCAGAGTTAGATCTGATCCGTTATCGGAATTGAAATTTCTTAATTCCAGTTTTTCTCAGTGATTATCTGCTTCTACTTATGTATCGTTCACTTGTGATTTTCGTTTTCGTATCGTCGAGATCGGTAATGTCTGGTGTAATTCTGATCTGTTTTACTTCGCAGACTATAAATCTTGCTGCGATCTGTACTCCAGCTGATTACAATACGCGTCCTCTTGATACTATCTACAGCAATTTCATCGACGCATTACCAGTTGTATGTATTTCGTTTGATCCTTCTTCTTACTTCTTCTATTACTTTGCTTTTGCTGTTATGAGCTCACTATTAGTTGATATTGATTTTGGTCAAATGTGTTTGCTATGTAGGTTAAATACTGCTCTGAGAACAACAAGCGTCTCATTCACTTTTCTACTTGTGAAGTATATGGAAAAACCATCGGAAGCTATCTTCCCAAGGATCATCCTCTGCGTGAGGTCAGGCCTCTTTTACACCTCTCGCTTTCAACATTTTATTGTCTCTGCTTTACTCATCACCTCTAGATCAATCTCACCACTGAATTTACTGAGGAATATGTTGAATCTGCTATTTTATTTATTTGAGCAATCACATTTAGTTAAATTGTGTGAATTAGTCAATAGCTCTTGTTAAACTAGTCTATCAGCCACAGATGAAAGCGTATTTACCTATAAATGTTCATTTTAGGGATGCATGGGATCTTAAGTAAGTATGTAGAAGAGATGGTTTCTTGGGATTCCTTGTTTACGAATGTTGTGTGTTGTGATTTATACAGGACCCTTCTTTCTATGTTCTTAAAGAAGATATTTCCCCTTGCATATTCGGTTCAATTGAGAAGCAAAGGTGGTCATATGCTTGTGCTAAGCAACTCATTGAGAGACTCGTTTACGGTATGCATTTTTTGTTTTTGTTTAAGAAGACATGTGAATTAATGTGGTAAGAAACAAAAGGTTTACTTACACTTGACTTGTTTCTGGTGGTTATAGCTGAGGGTGCTGAGAATGGACTTGAGTTCACAATTGTAAGACCTTTTAACTGGATTGGACCTAGGATGGATTTCATCCCCGGCATCGATGGTCCTAGCGAAGGTGTCCCTCGCGTCCTCGCCTGCTTTAGTAACGTAAGTATACAAAAAAAATCCGAGCCTTGTGTCCAATGCTTTTCTGTATATGCAAGCTTTTGGTTGATGCGTTTGCTATCTTTCAGAACCTTCTACGCCGTGAGCCTCTCAAGCTTGTTGATGGTGGAGAATCACAGAGAACTTTCATCTACATCAAGGATGCTATCGAAGCTGTTCTATTAATGATTGTGAGTTTCTATTTGCTTATATTTGTCCTTTGTGATCTTCGATGACAAACTAATAAACTGCAAAGACGTTTCAAACTTCTTAGTTTTTGTGCTTTTTAGTTTTTGAAACTGTTAAACTTGTCCAACTAAAAAACCTGCAATGATGATAATTTTGTGGTTCAGGAAAACCCAGAGAGAGCAAATGGACATATCTTCAATGTAGGCAACCCAAACAACGAAGTCACAGTACGACAGCTTGCTGAAATGATGACAGAGGTGAGGGACGATTTAGTTTCAAAACGAGAGTTCCCATTTTTTAAAAACTGTCTTCTTCTTTAATCTCAAATCTCAACAACACGAATCTCTTTTTGTTTTCTCAAGGTTTACGCAAAAGTGAGTGGAGAAGGAGCTATTGAGAGCCCGACGGTTGATGTTAGCTCGAAAGAGTTTTACGGGGAAGGGTATGATGATAGTGACAAGAGAATCCCAGACATGACCATCATTAACCGCCAACTCGGATGGAACCCGAAGACATCACTCTGGGACTTGCTCGAGTCCACCTTAACCTATCAGCACAGGACCTACTCAGAAGCTGTGAAAAAGGCAACTGCCAAACCAGTGGCTTCATAAAGTTAAAACAGAAAACTCGTTAAAAGGAAGTAACAATTTGGCATTTCTCTTTACTCTTTTCGATTCTTTCCTTTTTTTTTTCATCCCAGAGAACACTTTTTTTTTTTTTGTTTTATAACTTCTGTTCTTTTGGTTCCTTTTAAGAATACACAAATATAATCACCGTGGTTCGTTCCATGTAGACCCTCTATATTTTTCGTATTTTGTTCCAAGCATTACTTGGCGAATGTCGGTTAGTATTATGAAGCATGTCCTGCAAGTAGAGTGAAAAAACATTTATATCGCTATAATTACATGGTATCCAGAGAAGCAGAAAGGCATGTTAGAAAAGAAAGTCTTCACAGTATGTTTAGATATTAAAATAAACATTCAATACTGTGAAATCACCAATGACTCCAAAGCTCCTCAAACTCAAACCAATTCTCTCCATACGTGTCCGCTCCATCTATTTTCTCTTGTTCCGATAAATTGTTGAACTTTCATCTTTCAATCATTTCTGAATAGGATTAGTGATGATCATCTTTGTGAATTTAGTTTAGGGAGAATTAGTTTTATAATGCCAATTGATTTAGAATTTGTCCCCTTAATGTTTTCTGAAAAAAAAATTATTCTTATTAAATTTTTTTTCTATTATACCAGTTAATTTCGAATTATTTAATAAATTAAATTTTTATATTAATAATATTTTATAATTAAAAAATATCAGTAAAAAAGATATTTTACATCCCCATTCACATGTTTTTTTTCTCCTCTATCGACATCATCAATACAGTTTCCTCCACTTACACAGTCTTCGCCGAAAAATCAATTTCCGGTAAATACATAATCTACACAGTCTACACATTCTTTCTCCTCCGCTTGTCTTCTTCGTTATCATTCAGTTTCAAGTTTAGGGTTTATAAATACTCAATTCATTTGGGGAGGTTTCTTTGATTTACAGTTTTCTGTTACTTGTTTGATTCTAATTTCGATTATTGTCGCATAGATGATTGTAATTTCAATTCTAGCCGCATGCATTGATACGAGCATGGACCCAGAGCATGACCAAGATAAAAAAGTCGAGGTTTCGGAAGCCCACTTGGCTGTACCAGAAGGACTCATGACACGATCCAAGGCTAAGAAGCTGGCAGGGGCGGTTCAAGCTGTGCTTAAAGGGATCAAAGACGGACCAGGCGACCCAATATCACCCAAGGTTGTGACCGTGCTCATGAACGCCAGCTGTAGCTAATCTAGTCCGGGTGATGGCTTAATACTCTTTTTCCTTACACACGAGTTTGTCCCAATGGGTTTACCGGATGGAGTTTTAATGAGGTTAAGTCCATTGCCCATCTCTCGACTTAGGTTCGTTTACGGTCTGGTCATGGGACGGAAGCGTAGGAGTCATTTTTGGCTAAGAAGTTCAAGAGTCGGTCAAGAGCCAGCCGAAGAATTATTCAAACTTTTTCTTTATTTCGGTCAAAACATTTATGTCTTTTAGTCATTTTCTAAGCATGGCTCTTCGCCTGCTTTCTCTTCTATTTAAACGCAATGTACTTTCATTCTGGAATTCATTCACTTTTATATTAATAAAAATTTCGAGATTTTCTCTTTGTTCTTTTGAGAACTCTTTTCGATTCTAAGGTGGTTAGCCTCTTAAATCTTTTCTTTCGGTTTATTGAGTTCTATTCATCCGACTCAACGAAGCCTTCGATCCATCTAGCTTAAGTATTCGTTCAAGTAGATTTAGGGGCATCAGGATTTTCGGGAACCAGTTCTCACTCTTGATCATCTTAGATCCGCGAATTCTTAACTCGGTGCAGCCATCCCCTTTGTTCGTGATGATTACCGCGAGTTTTTGGGCCTAGGGATATTCGGGAATTCTTGCTCTCAAGCCTTAGCATCTGCTCCGTGCATCCGATCTAGCTGAGATATCAACCTCCATTGTTCAAGTGTGTCCGGTCTTAGGGGATTCATATCAAGTGTTATCAGAGCCACACACTTGTCAAAGGCGGTATTATCTATCTTGTCTTTTTAAATTCCATCTTCTGTTTCTTTCTTCTGTAAATTCCAGATCAAAAAAAAAAGTCAAAAAAAAGGAAAGCGAAAAGTTTAAAAAAAAGAAGAGGATCTGTTAAAACAAACTCTTTTCTATCTATCTTTAACGTTGGATCTTTGGTTTTGAATTTTTCTTGAGTGCTACACCTTGTATTGACACAGTTCCGATTAGAACCGAGAGAAATCTCTTGTGTGATAGTGAGATCATTGCGAGTGCGTGTGAATTCAAGAGAGAAACATCCAAGTGAGGAAATTTTTATACTAACGTGTTTGTTATTTTTGCGAGGTACCCTTATATGTCATCGGGCCCTTCAGAATCAGACGGAGAGTAGAACTACTACACCTATCGTGACGGAAACCACATTCGTTGGATAAATCCAGAATAAATGGATGCCAAACTTAACCAAATCACCGAGCTGATGGAACGTATGAACCAACGAATGGATCGGCTGGAGAGACAGCCACGACAGTCCGATGGGGAACAAAGTAGTCACTGGAATCGAGAGGAGCCAGAGCATTTGAGAAGAGGTCGTAATCAGGAAGAGGTTCTAGACAACCCCTTTTATGCTGACGGCCACACGTCTAGAGCAAGCCGACCCAGGCAACGGTACGACCGAGGTGCTCGCCGAGGTCAAGGCGGTCAGTTCCGCATGCAGGAGCCGCACAGACAAAACCGTAACCAACAAAACTCGGATGATGAGGACCGCGAACAGCCATACCGACAGAACGAGCAGAATGATCCAGGCTGTGACCGAGGCCGACCTGACAACGATCTCGCCGGAATGAAACTCCGAATCCCACCGTTGTACGGAAAAACGATCCCGATGCTTTTTTGGAGTGGGAAAAGAAGATTGAGCTGGTCTTCGGTTGCCAAAACTTCTCCGAGCAAAAGAAGATGAATTTGGCTGCGACTGAGTTCCACGGCTACGCGGTTGACTGGTGGGACCAGGTGGTGACTAACCGAAGAAGAAACGAGTTCCGACCTATTTCTACTTGGGACGAGATGGCGGCTCTGATGAGACACTGGTTTGTTCCAGCCCACTACAACTGAAAGCTGCACACTAGACTTTGACGGTTGACTCAAGGAAAAAAAACTGTGGAACATTATTTCCAAGAGATGGAGCGGCTTATGCTAAAGGCTGATGTGGACGAAACGATGGATGCGACTATGGGTCGATTTTTAAGTGGTCTGAACCGGAATGTACAAGACCGGATGGAGCTACAGGAGTATGCGAGCTTGCCTGAGATGTTGCACAAGGCCATATTGGTGGAACAACAGCTCAAGAGGAAGGGCACCACTCGGCCCGCCTATGGAACTAGCTCCCAGCCAAACTATCGAGAAGATAAAGCCACTTATCCGGCCAGATCCGATACACGGCCTAAACCAGATTCTAAGCCCAATTCCTCCAGCCGACTACCGAGGGAAAGCCGAGGCTACACCGGTCAGGACACAAGACATCGAGTGTTTTAAATGCCGAGGTAAAAGGCATTATTCGAATAAGTGTCCTAATCAGCGTGCAATGTTGTTTCTTGACTCAGGTGAAATCGTGTCCGAGGGAGAAGAGGACACCGGTCCTATATATGATGTTAACGACGCTGAGGAATATGCAGCCGAGGGAGAGCTGTTGGTTGCAAGACGAGTTCTACTAGCCCAGGAGCCAGTCAAAGAGGAAGACCAACGAGAGAACCTGTTCCACACACGGTGCCATGTGCTAGGAAAGGTTTGCAGCCTTATCATTGATGGTGGGAGCTGTACAAACGTTGTTAGTACTACTATGGTGGAGAAACTCGGTCTGAAAACACGCAAGCATCCTCAGCCCTACAGCCTCTGTTGGTTAAACAATCAAAGACAGCTGAAGGTGACCAAACAGGTGTCGGTGCCCTTGTCCATTGGCCGATATGAAGATCAAGTCGTATGTGACGTATTGCCTATGGAAGCAGGCCATATTCTTCTACGCCGGCCATGACAGTTTGATAAGAAGGCCATCCTTGACGGATTCACCAACAAACACACGTTTGAGCACCATGGCAGAAAGATAACCTTGGCGCCTTTATCATCGCGAGATGTATAGTTAGACCAGATGAAACTTGAGCAAGGCATCAAAGGAAAGAGTGTTGTGAGCGAACTCCCTAACACCCCCACTAAAAATGAGAGTCTGAGAGAACCCCCAAAAACGGCCTTTGAGAGAACACCCGTGAGCAAAGAAACTCTTTTCATAAGACCTTGTGAGCTTAAGCACGCGGTGCACACCAAACAATCTCTCTTCCTACTCATGTTCAAATCTGTTTTGGCTAGCTCCACTGACTCACAGCCGGATTTTTCGAGCAGTGTCTTACCTCTTTTGCAGGAGTTTAATGACGTTTTTGCGGATGAGAGCCCCAGCGGATAACCAATACGCGGGATTGAACACCAGATAGATTTTGTTCTCGGTGCTTCTCTGCCTAATCGTCCCGCGTACCAAACTAATCTTGTCGAGACCATGGAGCTACAAGACAGGCCGGGAACTCATGGAGAAAGGACAAATTCGGTAGAGCATGAGTCTCTGCGCGGTCCCGGTCCTGCTCGTGCCCAAGAAAGATGGATCATGGCGCATGTGCGTTGACTGCCGGACCATAAACAACATAACGGTAAAGTATCGACATCCTATTCCCCGTTTGGATGATATGCTTGATGAAGGGTCTTGCCTGTTTTCTAAGATAGATTTAAAAAGCGGATATCACCAAATAAGGATGAAAGAGGGAGACGAGTGGAAGACAACTTTTAAAACCAAGCACAGTTTATACGAGTGGCTTGTCATGTCTTTCGGTTTGACCAACGCGCCTAACACCTTTATGCGGCTCATGAACCATGCTTGCGATATTTTATAGGTGTCTTTGTTGTCATATACTTTGACAAAATCTTAGTTTACAGCAAAACCCTGAACGATCATTTAGAGCACATGCAATTGGTAATAGAGGTACTTAGGAAGGAACGACTCTATGGTAACTTGAAAAAGTGTACTTTCTGTGCAGATAGTGTCGTTTTTCTAGGTTTTGTTGTAGGAGCTAACGGAATCCAGGTGGATGAAGAGAAGATCAAGGCGATTCAGGAGTAGCCCAGTCCTAAGACCGTTGGAGAGGTCATAAGCTTCCACGGTTTGGCCGGGTTCTATCGACGGTTCGTTAAAGATTTCAGCAC